GGAGAAATCTGACGTTTGCTCGAGCAGCAAAGGCTCATGGGACTTTTCAGAAATTATAAATATTTAGCGTTTGTAATCTTATAAAGTGTGCAAATATAGATGCATGCTTTATTCTAATCTAAATGTCTCTTGTATTTACTTGTATTTTATGATTAATCTTAATATAATGCAAAGTTAAATTAAGTACCATGAGTTAAGACCATCTGCACTACAGGTTCTGAGTTGGATCAATGGTTGGAATGACTAAGTGGAAGTATAGTGTTTCTACATAGGATGGGAGATTACACAGTAGGACAACTGCGGTGGGCCAAATCCAATGGCTTGGCGGGCCAATTTGGGCCCACAAGCCAAAAGCAACCTTTTGTCTGAAACTCTGCTGATGGTTTAAAGAATCAAGCTTTATTATTTTTATTTTTAACTGATTTAATGTCACCTGTTTTATTAGAACTAATAGTTCTGAGCCCAAACACCAGATTCTGAGCAAACAAAACAATAAAAACTGGTTCAGAGACCAGCAGGGTCCAGTCCTGGTCCTAGACCAACATCCTGCAGGATTCAGCACAGCGACTATTTTCACTGAGGTTCTGCAGAACTTTTGTTAAGAAAAAAACGAACGGTTCTGGTTACATTTAACACCCGAGTGATATTTTTTTTAGAAAACATGGAATTATTAAAGAGATGAAGAAACTTGTCTCTGAGCTTGGATCAGAACCAGCCTCAGACGTTAGGATTAATCTGAGGGATTAAAACATTTGAAAGTTTGTTTCTCAGAGGTGGAACCCATGGAACCGGCCCAAACAAGGTTCTGTTCTTGGTTCCATCAGAAGCTGAAGAAACTCCGATTTTATTGAAATCACAATAAATAAATTTAAAAAAAAAACATGAACTCCTGGACCGAGCTAGAACCGGTTATCAAGAGCTGTTGGTTCTGATTCCACATCAGAACCTGAAAACTGGGAACTGGTCCTGAAGCTGAGCCAACGTTTGGAGGATCAACAGAAGAAAAGCGGTTCTGTTGTCACTTCAAACACAACATGAAAGAATAAAATCTGTCCTGTTTTTATTTTAGTTTCTCCTCAGATTCAGAACCTGCAGAAACCTGAGCAGCAGCAAGGATCAGACTACTTCCTGGAGACTTCAGCTTCATTCAGTTAAAATTACCTCTTTTAATAGCTGGGTCACTCTTAATTTTTAAATTTAAATGAAACTTTTAAAATTTGGGTTCTTCCCTAAACTCTGAGATAAATGAAGATAAAAAGTCTGTGTCTCCATCAGAACAGTTCTGACAACAGAACCCCCAACAAAACAGCACCGAGGGTCCTGTTTGGTTCAGAACCAGACTTTAAACAGAAAACTGAGCTTTTTTTTTTTTTTTTAAACAAACTCTGGTTCAGATGGAAGATTTCAAAGATTTTTTTTCTCATTTTAAACATTTTTAATTATTTTTAAAGCAGAAAATAAAACCAGAACAAATTCAGATCAAACATTTTTAAATGAGTCGTTGATCGAACAGTTTTAAATGAGTGTTTGATCGAACAGTTTTAAACGAGTCTTTGAACAGTTTTAAATGAGTTTTTGATCAAGCTGTTTTAAAGGAGTCGTTGATCAAACATTTTTAAATGAGTCGTTGATCGAACAGTTTTAAATGAGTGTTTGATCGAACAGTTTTAAACGAGTCTTTGAACAGTTTTAAATGAGTTTTTGATCAAGCTGTTTTAAAGGAGTCGTTGATCAAACATTTTTAAATGACATAAAACAAACAGATGGTTTCATCTTTAAAACACAAAAATAATTCTCTTTTTAAATCTTTTTAATCCAGAAACACTTCAGAACCTCCTGGGTTCCGGTTTGAGTCCAGATTAAATCCGCAAAACTTTGTCTTTGAACTGGTTCAGATTCATTAAAAACTGACTTCATCTCTAAAAACTTTACAAAAAAAAAGCTGCAGAAACAAACAGCAGCTAAAGTTCTGCTCATGTAGCAGCTAAAACCTTCACTAATTCATCCCTTAAAAAAACTTCATCAGATTAAACCTCATCTTCATCAGATGAAAGTTCCGTTTTTACAGAATAAAGAAAGTTTTGAACTCACATGTCCTCAGAGGAGCAGCTGATTCTTCCTCAGGATCATTTTTGTCACAAAAACTTTTTATTTCGGTTCCGCTGATGGGTTCAGACTCTTCAGATCCAAACGGAGTCTCGGTGAGGAGCAGAAAGTCTGAGGAAGAGGAGGAGGAGGAGGAGGAGGAGGAAGAGCAGCTCCCTGCCAGGGTCCGCTCCTTTCACTCACCCGGACTCAGCTCCGGCGGAGGCGGGGTTAAAGACCGGTTCGGTTCGACACAAACTGGACTGTAAATAAATCAAAGGCGTGGAAAAACTTTATTTTGACAGACTTAAATAAAGTTCAGCGCAGAGGAGTTTCGTGGTTTGATCCAGTAAATATTTAAAATGCTTAAAATGAATCTTATTTATTCTCCTAAAAATAAAACCTGGAGACTTCAGTTTATTTTATTTTATTCTGGCTGCTCTCCTTATAGATACAGTTCAACTGTTTGTTTTTTTTTTACCATGAACTTCGCACCAGAAAACATTAGTGTATGGTAAACAACGTTCATGTTGCTCCACAAATGTTTCCAGCAGCTCAGGAGGATGAAAACTGAATTAAACTGGGGAAATAAATCAGAGATTTGGTGAGAAAAACACTCAGAATGTCTGATGGGTCATCTCCATGTTCCCTGATAGTTCCCTGAATTATTTATCATTATAACGCCTGCAGTGCAGAATTTTTTTTCTTTTGTTTTAAAAGACATTTGATGGAGAAGTCAAGCATCATTTATGATTGTTATTATTAGTTCTGTGAGAACACGGGTACCAGGAAACCTACCAGGGAACCTGTGTACAGAGGAACCTATCCGGGAACATGTGTACAGAGGAACCTATCGGGGAACAAGTGTACAGAGGAACCTATCGGGGAACCTGTGTACAGAGGAACCTATCGGGGCACATGTGTACAGAGGAACCTATCGGGGAACATGTGTACAGAGGAACCTATCGGGGAACATGTGTACAGAGGAACCTATCGGGGAACATGTGTACAGAGGAAAACTAACAGGGAACATGTGTACAGAGGAACCTATCGGGGAACAAGTGTACAGAGTAACCTATCGGGGAACATGTGTACAGAGGAACCTATCGGGGAACATGTGTACAGAGCAACCTATCGGGGGAACCTGTGTACAGAGTAACCTATCGGGGAACAAGTGTACAGAGTAACCTATCGGGGAACATGTCTACAGAGTAACCTATCAGGGAACAAGTGTACAGAGCAACCTATCGGGGAACCTGTGTACAGAGTAACCTATCGGGGAACAAGTGTACAGACGAACCTATCGAGGAACATGTGTACAGAGGAACCTATCGAGGAACCTGTGTACAGAGGAACGTAACGGGGAACCTGTGTACAGAGTAACCTATCGGGGAACAAGTGTACAGATTAACCTATCGGGGAACATGTGTACAGAGGAACCTATCGAGGAACATGTGTACAGAGGAACCTATCGAGGAACCTGTGTATAGAGGAACGTAACGGGGAACGTGTGTACAGAGGAACCTATCGAGGAACCTGTGTACAGAGGAACGTAACGGGGAACATGTGTACAGAGGAAACTATCAGGGAATATGTGTACAGTGGAACCTATCGGGGAATATGTGTACAGATGAACCTATCGGTGAACCTGTGTACAGAGGAACCTATCGGGGAACATGTGTACAGAGCAACATCAGGGAACATACTGTATGTACAGAGGAACATATCAGGGAACGTATGTACAGAGGAACATTTTATGTAGAGAGGAACTTATCAAGGAACATGCGTACAGAGGAACCTATTGGGAAACATGCGTACAGAGGAACCTATCAGGGAACGTGTGTACAGATGAATATGTGTACAGTGGAACCTATCAGGGAACATGTGTACAGAGGAACATATCAGGGAACATGTGTACAGAGGAACCTATTGGGAAACATGCGTACAGAGGAACCTATTGGGAAACATGTGTACAGAGGAAACTATTGGGGAACATGTGTACAGAGGAACCTATTGGGGAACATGTGTACAGAGGAACCTATTGGGGAACATGTGTACAGAGCAACATCAGGGAACATACTGTATGTACAGAGGAACCTATCAGGGAACATGTGTACAGATGAACATGTGCACAGTGGAACCTATCAGGGAACATGTGTACAGATAAACATGTGTACAGTGGAACCTATCAGGGAACATGTGTACTGAGGAACATATCAGGGAACATGTGTACAGAGGAACCTATTGGGAAACATGCGTACAGAGGAAACTATTGGGGAACATGTGTACAGAGGAACCTATTGGGGAACATGTGTACAGAGGAACCTATTGGGGAGCATGTGTACAGAGGAACCTATCGGGGAACATGTGTACAGAGCAACATCAGGGAACATATGTACAGAGGAACATATCAGGGAACATATGTAAAGAGGAAATTATCACTGAACATGTGTACAGAGGAACTTATCACTGAACATGTGTACAGAGGAACATGTGTACAGTGGAACCTATCAGGGAACATATGTACAGAGGAAATTTTCACGGAACATGTGTACAGAGGAACATGTGTACCGAAGAACATGTGTACAGTGGAATCTATCAGGAAAGGAACATATCAGGGAACATATGTACAGAGGAACTTATCACGGAACATGTGTACAGAGGAACATGTGTACAGAAGAACATGTGTACAGTGGAACCTATCAGAGAACATGTGTACAGTGGAATTTATCAGAGAACATGTGTACAGAGGAACATGTGTGGAGGAACATGTGTACAGTGGAACCTATCAGAGAACATGTGTACAGAGGAACATGTGTACAGGAACATGTGTACAGTGGAACCTATCAGAGAACATGTGTACAGAGGAACATGTGTACAGGAACATGTGTACAGTG